TTTTTTGGTTATGATTGGTTGGTTGATCGTGCTTTTATCTTGGTGTTTATTAAAATTGATGAACACTATGACAGTTGTCTTGAAGTTGGTAGCTTTTTAACATTAAATAATTGTTTTTCAATCGTTTTGGACTACAGATATATTTGATTCAAATGCTACTTGGTATTCTATGTTTGTAAGTACAAGATTGCTTTAGACAAGCAGCATGATTAAATAGTTAATTTTCTTATTTAACAGAGCACCCATCTAAACTTATAGATACAATATTAGTCTTTAATGACACCGTAAAAGTTCTTAAAATGAGAAATTTACAAAGGTAAATTCTTAGCATTTATCTGTATAGATTAAGAAGTTAACTTTTTGGTTTTTGTTTTGATTTTACAATTAAAAATGAGGGAAAGATGTGTTTGTATTCTCAAGACATTTAATTCGATATATATAACAACATTCTAGCCACATTTACATTTTTCTCTTTTGGATTCTTTCCTTCAACATTCAAATATGCTGTAGTGTCTTACATATTGAAAACAAAGGCCGAACACAGTGGCTCACACCTATAATCTTGATACTTTGGGAGGCCAGGGTGGGAGGATCACCTGAGCCCAGGAGTTCGAGGTTGCATTGAGCTATGATGACACCATGACACTCTAGCCCAGGCAGCAGAGTGAGACCCTATCTCTAAAAAATAAAAACAAAACAAAAACAAAAACCACCAGTCTTCAAGTCCCCCTCTAGCTGCCATTGCACTTCTCTACTCCCCTTTATAGCATAATTCTTTGAAAGAGTTCTCTATAATCACTGATTTCACTTTCTCTCTTCCCATTCTCTAATCCAACTCCAGCAGAATTCAAGCCCCCTCCAGGCAACTAAATCTCTTCTCCACCACTCACATTCTAATTGCTGAATACCTGGTCAGCTCTTGGTGCTCATCGTAATGACCCCCTCACCACTATTTGTTCTTTTCTCTGAAGATATTTTCTTCACTTGACTGCTGGTTCCTCTGTATCTGCCTGATCTTGAAACATGAGCTTACCTCAGACTCAGCCTTTGATCCTCTTCCCTGTCTACACTACTCCGTAGTGACCTTTAATTCCTTCTGTTTATTATATCAGGTTTCAATATAATGGCTGCACCATAGTTGATTTAACCAATCTCCTATCAGTAGACCTTTGAGTTCTTTTTGGCTTTGTGTTTTTAAAATTAGAATATTATACAAGTATTCTTTTACACATAATCTCTTTGTATATTCGTGGGAGCATTTCTATAAGTAAACATCTTAGAAGTGGGAAAGCTGGATCTAAAGATATGGACCTTTTAAATTCTAATAGATATTACTAAATGTCCATCTTTAAGAGGTTATACTAATTTATATTTCTGCCAACAGTATGAAAGTATTTACCCATACTCTGGCCAGCACTGAATGTTTTCAGTTGGGGTTTTTGGGGTTTTTTTGGTTTTTGGTTTTGAGTTTTTTGGGCTTTTTTTTTTTTTTTTTTTTTACTTTTTCTAGCTTTCTTGAATGATTTTTTTTTTATTTTTAAATTGATGAAATATTTTATTCTTTTTTTTTTATTTCAGCATATTATGGGGGTACAGATGTTTAGGTTATGTATATTGTCCTTCCTCCCCCTACCTTGAATGATTTTACTTGACTTAGCAAAAGCAGATTTCTACTCAATTAAATATAAAGCAGTCTGTTTATTATTATAATAAATTCTCATATACCATAAATTAAATATCTTACTTTTGAGGTCTAAGTAGATTATGATATTAGGTCATTATTATAGAGCCAAATATGATTCCTTATTTAGAAAATGTGAATTTTTACATGAAACTGCAGAATTGACTTAACATATTTTTCCCCTTTTATGTTAAGTGTCAGATTTGATTACTGGCTATCACTAATTTATTAATAAATTGTATAACTAGACCATAATTGTAACTGCTTCATTACACCAGAGCAGTGATTACCTTCTTTTTAAAACTAGTACTGTTCTTGTGGAGGTTTTTAAAAGGATAGCTTTGAAATTATTGCAGAATCTTTCTGTGGAAAGAAAATTAACTGAAATTAATGCTATTGTGAGGAATGTCTACTTGGGATAAGGAAGTCCCTAACTTTTGGAAGATTTTTTAAAAAGTTTAAAGGTAGTAAAAGTTTCCATATTGTGATTTTTCTTGGAGAAGATAGCTGAGAGATAAAAATTTGTTTCTAGTAACTCAGTAATAAACACATTATTTTAACAAGTTTCAGTTTTTGCTAAATTGATGAAGCAGGTGCATCCTGGAGTTTCTTCCTGCTTATTATGTTAGTGCTGAATCAGCAGTAGGTTAAAACCTTTTGTTGCCCAAAACCTTTTGGTTCTCTTCAGTTTTTTTTCTATTATACAGTTTCATCACATGAAAGAGAATTCTTTCATATATTTGAAAAATATACCCAAGAATGTATTTAGAAATATACTTTTTAAGTACTAGAAAGTTTAAGTTTTGGAGAAGTAGAATTTCTATGATAAGCTATTTGTTTTTAACACAAAAATGTCTGTTATTGAAAAATTAAATATTCTTTTAAATATTCTTTTAAATCATCATTTGCTATTTAATTTGAAATTCAGGTTTACAAACTGCAATTCTACAGTACAATTCTGCAATTCTGTACAATTCTACAGTCTTTCTGAAGCAGATTTGGATTTAGTAGCAGTGTACAGGGAATGCCCTTTTTAAATTCTGTAATCAGAGTGATCCCTCTGGTGGTGGTGTTAAAGGATGCTTTGCCTATACATTGCATCAAAGATCATTTCCTTAAAACCTGGTCGGATCCAAGGTGCAGAAGTTATTTGCCTCTGATCAGTGATTATGAGGATGATGAATGACATTTACCTGGTAGTAAACCACTTGAAATTCATTTTGTCTTTCATAACTTACTGAAAATATTTTTTTAAATTGGTATCTTAGGTTGTATCCTTTTTTACGCTGGAAAGAAAGAAGGGATACTTTCTATCCTTCAGAGCAGGAATGCCAGTAATAATAATAGCAGATGTCTCCTCTTGAAGCTTATTACCTAAAATGATAGGCACCGCGATGAGTCCTTTACATGTTTTATCTCAGTCTTTGCAAGTAACCCTAAGCAGTAAGGACTGTAATTCTTATTTGGTGATAAGGAAGTTGTCTCCAAGTAATTTTATATTAGTAAATGAGAAAAGAGATTAAATACTGTGGCTCAAAGAGCACGGCTAATAAGTGGTAACATTTGCCTGAGGTGTTCTGACTCTAGAACCTAAACTCTTCATCACTGAACTCTGCTGCTCAATTAAATTCTCCGTGTAAAAGCAACCAGTGGAAGTTGACATATACTCATATCTACTATGTGTGGCTCTAGGCTCAGTCCTGGACCTTTGGTCTTCTCATATACTTCTCACACAGCATTCTAATATATGCCCTTAACTTCAGGTGTTATCTGTGTACTGAAGAATTTTCTCTTTAGGTACAACCAAAATGATGTCTAAGACATCTTGTTCTTCTGTTTTGTTTTTTTTTAATAGCCACCTTAAATGTAGCAGTACCTACCCAATAACCTACTCTTTCTTTGGTGTTCTCTGTCTTAATAAGGGCAACCATCTATCCACACCTGAAGCCTGATACCTGGGAATCTTCCTTGACTCATCTCTCATCCACACATCGACAAAGTAGTACCATATCTACCTCCTAAACATACTTAAGTACATCCATGTCTTTTATTCCATTGCCCTCTTCCGGCTAGCATTGTCTCTCGGTTAGGCTACTGTCACAACCTTTAAACTGGTTACCTTGCATTCAACCTTACTTCCCTCCATTCTATTCGCCACTCTCTTAATAAAATGTAAGTATGAGCATGTCACTCCTACTTAAAACTCTTCAGTGAGTTTCCATTGTTCTCAGGATAAAAGTCCAAACTCCTTATTAAGACTTATAAAGACCTCGCAAGCCTGGCTTCCACATGCTTCATTAGCCTCTTCTCTTGTCCACGTTGCTGCTCATTTGATTGTTAACATATGATATTCCTTCTGTCTGCAATACCACCCCAGCCCAGAGCCTTTCATTCACTCCTACTCCTGCACAGCCTTGAGGTTCAGGTGAAACCTCAGTTCCTGATAGGAGAGGCTTTCTTTTCCATAACACCCTTCACATTTTTGCTTAATGTCTCTGTTCCTCACTAGGCAATAAGTTCTGTGTAGCAGAGACCTCTAATCAACCTTATTTCCAGCACCTGGCATAATTCCCAGCACCTAAGAGATACTCAGAAAGAATTCACAGAATAAATTAGAGATATGTCTCTACTTAACAAGCTCAAAGTCCAGTGGGAGCTAGAGTATGGTAAAGAAATAACTTCAGTACGTGTGATGAGTACTCTAATAAAATGCTGTAGGATCGCAGAGGGGTACATAAGTGATTAACTTTGTCTGGGGGAGCATTTTCCCTATATAACTTTATTTTATTGAGGAAATTGACTTATGGCTTTCAAAAAAAGAGGAGAGTTGTGCTGAGCAGTGGAATTGATTCAGTTGCATTTTGCTTTATTTTTTGCTCACCGGTTGGGCAAGGGGCAAGAGTTTACAGCAGACTTTTTTTTTTGGAAACAGAGTCCTACTCTTTGCCCAGTCTGGATGCAGTGGCGCAATCATAGCTCACTATAACGTCGAACTCCTGGGCTCCAGTTATCTTCCCACCTTGGCCTCCCAAAATGCTGGCATTTCAGGCATGAACCACTGCGCCAGGCCTACAGTAGACTTTTAACATTCTAAGGTTATATCTCGAGAACTTCAGGAAGTCTAAGCTAGATATAGATGCTGAGTAGCCAGCTAGCCATGCTCACTAATCTAATCAAAATCAGCATTCACTCTTTTATGTTGCTTATTATAAATCATGCATCATATATCTTTGACTTCAAATTCTGAAATTGACAGCATTGAATCCATGGATACCAGAGCTGGTGTTCACGTTTAGGTTTTTATTTCTTGTCGTTCCAGCTCTGACCGCCATCGACGGCACAGCACATGGGGAGCCCTGCCACTTCCCTTTTCTTTTCCTGGATAAGGAGTATGACGAATGTACATCAGATGGGAGGGAAGATGGCAGACTGTGGTGTGCTACAACCTATGACTACAAGGCTGATGAAAAGTGGGGCTTTTGTGAAAGTAAGTATTGCTCAGTAGCAGGCATGTCCACATTGCTTTATGACTGGGGCAACATTTTAAAGGTCTTTTTCTAGCCATCCTTTTCCACGTTGGTCAGAAATGGCCAGTATTGATGATGTGGTTATAGCCTTAAAGAGTACACTTAAGAGCAGGAAGCATGTGGTATATTTATTTCCAGGCTGTCACTCAGGAAGCTTATCACACTCGTGTTTTATTTAGAGATGGTTGTGCATTGGTGTGCACAGGTTGTTTTGTAAACCCTTCAGGCAGGCTACTAAATTAATTAACATAAAACATTTTTGGCAATAAAGGAAACAGACCATTAAGGTGAAGGCTAATAGTGATTAGAAAAAAAAAATAATACATTTTAAAATACTTTGAGTCAAATATACTATACTAAGGTAACATTTGACAAATATAGTATATTTAACTATCTTAAGTGTAAATGCCAGTGTAAAGGTGCTGGCTTCCGTGGACAAGCTATGTTTTCAGGAAAAACTTTCTAACTACAAAAGAACGACAAGAAATCTTGAATATGTTCCCTTTAGTACCAAATAATATTTTCAAAATAATGGCTCTGATAGAATATTTGGGCATTCCTATAAGGTAATATTATCAAATATAATCCATGTTTG